AAGGACTCAGCTGCTCGGATTGATTTGGGCAGGTCATTCCACCAGGAGGGAACAGTTAATGAGAAAGTCTGTGAAAGTGATTTTGTGCCTCTTTGGGATGGCACAATAAAGCGACGTTCACTTGCAGAACGCACGCTTCTTGAGGGCACATAACTCTGAAGTAATGAATTGAGGTAAAGGGGTGCAGAGCCAGTGGTGGTTTTGTAGGCAAACATTAATGCCTTGAATTTAATGCAAGCAGCTACTGGTAGCCAGTGCTAATTGATAAACAGAGGTGTGACGTGCATTCTTTTCGGCTCATCAAAAATTAATCTTGCTGCTGAGAAAAATTACAAAATATCTACACCATATGTATATATATATATATGGTGTAATAATACTGATAATAGCTTAATTACCTGAACATTTTATATAATTTTTAAATATAACAAATTTAGATGGTGTAGGGAATTATGTGTGCTCCTTTCTATTCATGGGCTTAACCCAGTTTAAACATCTAAATTCTAAAATACCTGAATATTTCACTTCATTGACTTAAAATAGTATCAACCCAAACAACTCCATTACACACGAGTATCTGAGCAACTTAATTCCTATTTCCTCCATAATTCTAAATAATGCTGTGCTCGTTTAAGCGTTTGTGTGTTCCTCAAATAAACTGCAGGTCTGGGCAGGGTGCCGATGCCAAGATAACAGGGGCACCAGAGATAATGAGGGAAACATGAGTGTGAAGTGAGCGGGTCGCTCTTTTGGGACGCACTAAAATGAGAATGTGGAGAATTCCTCAGAAAAGAAGAGGTAAAAATGTCATAGAGCAGGACAGATTGGTTAGGCATCTGATAAGCAGCTCAGCCAACAGTCGGACTCACCCGCCAAAACAACGTGTACAAGAATTTCACCCTGCAACAACAGTGAGGCACAATAAAAATCCTAACAGGTTAACTAAAGGTCAGAAGTCTTTTTCCCCCTTCAGTGATACACAAGTAGCCACACAAATCAGATAGTGAAAAGATATCCTGATGGTAAATATATATAAATATAAATATCATATAATCCTAATGACAAATCCATCCACACATTTTTCTAAAGAGATACACTACTGTTCAAAAGTTTGGGCTAAGATTTATTATTATTATTATTATTATTATTATTAAATACTGTTATTCAGCAAGGATGAATTCAATTAAAATGACAGTAAAAAAAAAAAATTATAATGTAACAAAGATATCTATTTCAAATAAATGCTGTTTTCTTAAACTTGTTCTTCATCAAAGAATCCTGAAGAAAATCATGCTTTCGATCATGGTTTTATCATCTACATATTAGAATGATTTCTGAATGATCATGTGACACTAAAGACTGGAGTAATGATGCTGAAAATTCAGCTTTTATTCAGCTCAATAATAATATAACACCTGAGTGACATGCTGCTTTCTCTATTTTATCCAATCAATGAGCAAAAGATTTGATTTTAATTAAAGAAGAAAAAAGAGTCTATGAAATACTGCACTGCCATAGTGAGTCAGTCTATAAAATTAAATATCTAGCAAGTGACTGTGGAAAAGCAAGGAACATTTACCTGCTTTAGACAGAAAGATAAAATACAGAAGGAAAAATACAGAAGGAAAAAGTCAGTGCATAAGTGCTTGACATGTGAATCAGAAGTCAATAGTTTCATTTTAAAACACAAGTCGGTAATTTTTAGAGTGATAATAATCTCTCATCTTGAATCACACCCTCTGACCCCTAGACTGACACTTGATCTGAAAGATTATGATTTAACCCTTGACCAAAACTAAAGATACTAATGTCAACCTACAAACAGAAAGAGAGAGATTACTAGGGGAAAAAAACTGGATTACAGAAAAAGTAATTAGCTGTTATAGTAGTTTATAAAATAAAAGCACACATTTTAAACAGTCTTTTAGCCTTCAAAGGCTATGTTTTTTGTTTGTTTTTATATGCATATGCATATACTTGATTAAAACTGACACGTGTTGTGGCATGCTGTTTTAGGCAAAATGTTAAAGCTTCAGGCAAAATATTTTTTTTTTTTTGTAAATGAGAGAATAATTTGAAAACAAAAAGTGTATAAACATAAAGCACATACCTGCCACCCCATTAATTAATCCATTAAATACCGAAATGATAAAAGGTCAGACTTCTTCATGAAATAAATACATCTCGACAATAAATAAATAAATAGACCCGCATATAACAAAAAAATAATAATTTAATACAGTTATTTAAAAATTAAGTATTAAAAAAAAACGCTAATTTAATAAAGTTATTTACAAATGAAGTATTTAAAAAAAAATGCTGTAGAACGAACTTTCCTCGGGCAACAAACGTGATCAGAAGTCCTGGCGCGCCCTCTAGTGTCTGATGGAGCGCGTGACGCGCTCAGGAAAAACACCTGAAGTTCATCATCAACCGATCCAATTTGTCAGCTATCTGCGTGCAGTGTTTTTCCCCGCTGTTTACAGGTGTGCGTCCATGTGAATGGCACAGTTTATATTACTGTTCAATCCTTGCTGCAGGTGGCTGATATACTGATCTTGCCTGCACAGTGCTGATTATTTTATCAGGCAAAGGAATATTAAGCGCCCCTTTGTAAACAAACATTTATGAGTGGGGCCCAGCTGACTGGCTTGTGAAGAAAAGGTGCAGAAAGATTCTCTTCTCACGCCGTTTCACCTCAACAGCGTTCATGCTGACTGAAATGACAAGCTGTTTTATCGAAAATGACTCTGTAGGTTCAATCAGTCTGTCTGAATTATCCAGCTCATCATCTGTGTCTGACAGAGCATGTGTTCACTGGGGTAAGATCATTTCTGTCCTGTACAACGAGCCTTTGCAGTTGCCTGAATTGTTTAAGTCGCTTTTTACTTGCTCTTTCTTTCCTGAAAGGTTGTGTGCTCAGTGGCTCTGAGACCACAGCTGTCTTTCAAGCAGAAAATGACCTTCTGGAGAACCAGTTTTTCATCAAAACGGTAACCTAGATTTGGGCCTTCATAGTCTATCCCAATATAAACTGTTAATATTTACTCACCTTCATGCCGTTACAAACTCGTATGTTTTTTTTTTTCTCCGTCGCGTATGTTATTCAGCTTTCCCTCCAGCTAGCTGTTAATCGTTGTTAGTGGATCATTAATTTAATGATTTGAAGTTGAGTAGGGGATTTGTGAACGAAGCATCGCGTCATCCGATTCATTGAGTCATTCTTCTCAGTCAATTCTTTTCCTTCATGAATCGAACATTTCCCATCAACATGCAAAGGCAGCCATGTTTGTCATTCATTTATTCAAGGCTTGAAATAATGTGCGGAAGTGATTAAAAACTGTAATGCATCAGAGTCAATGCGTTTTATCATTTTGTAGTCTACATTCTCTCTCATTATAAAAGACTGGCCAGGATATTTGTGAAGTTCACCTTTTGTGTGTATGGGTCATTTACGTTTTGGTTCATGAAGGTGAGTAAATGACTTTTTTTTTTTTTTTTTTAATGAATACATTTTTTGAATGATCTATTAAAAAGTGTATGAGTGAGCCTGATAACCTACACCCACATCCATAGTCTTCAACCGGTTTGTCAGTACAGTAAAATGGCCTGATTTCTATTTTCACAGATATGTCTTAGTGAGGAGGCAGGAGAGGAGATGCATATAGTGGCCGTCTGTGACGGTGTCGGAGCTTCCAAACCGTTGCCCATTGCCACCCTCCGCCACTGTATGCCAATGGTGAATTATTGTGGCTGATAGTTTGATTATAAGTTTTCAGAAACTGCTAATCATATACAGGGCTCTACGCTTATTTTTCTTTTTAGGAGCACTTGTGCTCCTAACTTAAAAAATTTAGGAGCACAGTCAAAAATTTAGGAGCACCTTTTAATCAATAATCAAAAATTTGATCAAAAATTTGCCTTCCCATTACGAGGTGATATTTGACTCCTTAAAGTGATTTACAGTGGAATTTGGTTTTTACCTTTGTAATGGCATTTTTCTAACTTTATTAAAAGTATGTCATCTTTTGTCAAATTTTAAAAATAAAAATATTTTATAAGCTTTTTAATAATTCTAATTAAAACCACATAATAAGAACAAGTAGAATAAGAAAAATAAGTTACTAATCAAATGAAATCAGTATTAAAATTAAGTTGTACAGAGGTGGCACAGAAGAACACAAAAGTGGCATGTAGGTGTATTTTCAGACATTTAATGAGGATCAGAGGTGGCATGAGTGCAATTAAATCCATAAATTCACAGACAATAGTGTTATAGTCAGACAATGTAAGTCACTTAATATTAACTTCTTGTCTATTTAACTGTTGTATTAAATCAGTATCACATTTACAAACTCCCTTAAAAATCATTAAAAGCTGTCACTCATCTTAGCTCATCGCGATCTCACATTTATAATCAACGAAGCTCTCTACATTTCGCAATGAAACTTTTATTTACACCCTGTGTACACTTTGCTTATGAAAGGATTCGTGAGATATGTCTGTGATACATTACTCAACGCTGCAAAAACACGTAGAAAGCTTTGAAGCTCCCCTCAGCGATCACAATGACAAATATGATGAAGATCTGGTCAGTCGCACTGGTGCTCCTAAATATGTTTTCATAGTCGCACGCAGTAGTTTTCAGTCGCAAATGCGACTGAAATGGTCGCAACTGTAGAGCCCTGATATATAAGACTAGATATTTTGTCATATGTTGCAGATCAGTTTTCCCGGTTTGGAGCTTATTCCCCCTGTCACCTTTAAACTGTGCTCGGGTAAAGGACCCGTGTTCATCTCTGCTCAGCATATAACATGTAAGAGCTTGCATTGGAATACTTATTTTGTGTTTTTTAGGGTTGGGCAAAATTGACTATTTTAGCTCCTTGCTAATTCACAAGTGTGAACATTCAGGGTGCTGACTGGAAATCTGAATTGCAATGACAGGAGGATTTATGAACTGCAATTCAGAAATTTCAACATGGTTACACAGCCAAGGAGCTTCAATAGTCCAACACAAGTATAATTTTTTGTTTTCAGTTGATTGTATACATTTCTTTAATACTATGAAAACAAATAAAACGGGCACCAATATTGATTTTCAGTTTGCAAAATATCCACTTCGACATTGTCAGATAATTTTAGAAATATTGACATGAAAAATTGTTGACTTGGATATTGTAATTTCCCGAAATCGTCCATGATTCCCATGTATGTAAACAGTATTTTAATATTTAAAGAACAAATACAAATTCTATTTCATTTTTGTATTTTAATTCTAAATGGTGCTCAACCATGCTATTGCTAAAATTCATTTCTGCCTTTTTTTTTGTTGCAGTGAATCCCATTGAGATGACAGAGGGGGAGGAGGAGGATGAGGATGAAGATGATTAAATGCCAGTGATGAAAGCTTATTTTGACTGTTTGAACCATAATGGGTCCTGTGGGACAGTGATTGTGCCAGTATTTGTTACTGAAGCATCACAGTGTTTGTCAACATTAAAAAACTATTAAGTTCAAGTGTTTTAATGCTAATGAAAGAGAGTAATAAAATACGAGTCTCAAAGTGTAAATAATACCACACGATTTTATCGGATGTATTTTTTCCCTATATGTAGACCGAGATGCATACCTACTTGTACACAAAATGTTTAATAAAACATGCATTTGACCTGAAGTGAGAAATAGAGTATATACTGGTGGTGAAGCATTTGTGAATCCTACTTTTGGCAGCATGTTAATTATAAAATTAATTTTATGATTTCTTATTTTGATTTCTAGCTTGGTGAGGGTATAACATCATGATCTATGGCAGAGTTTATATGAGCTGTTGCTAAGAAACAGTCACGCATCTAAGCAACAGACGGTAAACAAACCCTTGCAGTTGTCATTGACATAGAGCTGCAGAATGAGTGCTGTTTACAGTGAGAAAAGAAGTCAATGCACCAGCACAAGATGTCTGCTCGCTTTGTGTTTGATGGCGCAGTGTTCATGTCATCTGAAATGAACCTTTTAGAGGATTTCAAGCGAGACACACACCCCGATAAAGTGAAATCTGGCAGGGAGGGGTGAGTGGTTTTACTGCCGCTGCCCCACACTGAACACGGACTACTGCCTGTAATGATGATGGCACATAAAAAAACCTATGAAACCAACATTGAATTTTAGCCTGTGTTAGACTCTTAAAGTCATTTACATGCTAATGTACTCATAAAATGTTAGAAATACAGGAACACACTAGTCTGCATGAGTTGCCAAATACCACATACTTTTTTAAAAAACAATAGCTTTTGTTTGTTTTTTTGCGAAATCCATTCTATTCTCGAGGAATACTAAACCATAAAAAATGACAAGTCCATTTACACTACAGGTTAAAAGTCTGGAATAATTATTTTAATCATAAAAAAATAAGAAGCTGAATTTTCAGCAGCCAACTACTCTGGTCCTTAGTGTCACGTGATCATTCAGAAATCATGTTAATATGTTTTTTTTTTTATCATCGATTTTGGAAATAATTCTAATGCTTAATGTATTTGTGGCAATGGGCATACATTTTTGTCAGGATTATTGTTTAAAATATTGAACAAAATTCACAGTATTTATTTGAAATGGAAATCCTTTGTAACTTTATAAATGTCTTTACTGTCACTTTTCATTAATGTAATGTGTGCTGGCTGAATAATTTCTTTCAAAATGATAATAAATCTTACCCCAAACTTACCTCAAAATATTAAGCAGCACAACTGTTTGGAACATTGATAATAATAAGAAATGTTTTTTGAGCAGCAAATTATTAGAATGATTTCTGGAGGATCATGTGACACTGAATACTGGAGTAATTGATGCTGAAAATTCAGCTTTGCATCACAGGAATGAATTATATTACAAAATATATTCAAAAGAAAACCATTATTATAAATTGTAATAAGATTTCACAATATTACTGTTTGTACTGTATCTTTGATCAAATAAATGCAGCTTTGATGAGCAGAAAAGAGTATAGAGTATATTGGAGAGCATGGACACACCGCATGGCTTCCTCTTGTACGAAAAATCAAGCAGCAAATTGCCACAGACCCGACTCTAACCCCAGAGTACCCACCCATCCTTGGGATCCCAGAATTCACCAGAAGGGCAACCGAACTTGCATTGGGCAAAGATAGCCCTGCCATTATGGAAAGCAGGGTACCATCGTTTTAATTGTTTTCAGTAAACGACGTCACACTGTAGACCATCTTTCTATAAAATATTATCCCACAATTGTTGAAAGCTCAAGTTAATCCCCAGTCCCGACTGTGATCCACAGCAACTCGCAAGCTGAATACACTGATAGTGCATGAGAGGCTTAGTACATACCCACTGTGTAGTTTGTTTGCAGATGGTGTAAAGCCAGTAGCCTTCAACGCTATCTGGAAATGTCAGTGCAAGCTGTAAACCAAATATAGCTTTTGATTATTGAACTACGGAGATAATGTGACGCAAATGGGTTAGTCACACACGTCAGTAATTAAAGATACTGGTGCTGAATAGAAACTAACCACCACTGATCACTTTACTGTTATTAAACTGATTAAAGGCCTGTTCACACCAAGAACGATAACTATAAAGATAACGATATTAGCATCCACACCAGCGAAAGATATCATCTGTAAGCGCGCGCTCGTCTGCAGTTTTAAATTCTCGCGCTCATTATAGCAAGATTGATTCTGATTGGCTGTCAATGTTTTTATCGTTCATCAGCTGAATAAAATCGTTCTGAAAATGATTCCAACGATATTGTTTCTCTGTGCCTTTATCGTTATAGCTTCGGTGTGAACTCGGCTATTCTTTAATGTTGAGAACGTTTTTTTAGAACTTTATCTTTATCGTTATCTTTATAGTTACCGTGCATGGTGTGAACTGGCCTTAACACTTAAGTTTTAATAGTTCGGTTAAAACAATTAAAGGCCTGACACAAACCCCAGCCTTCACATTTCCTTCATCCTTAAGCTTTTCAACCAGGTGGAACAAGCAAATCTTGGTTTCTTTTATAAATAAATTCGACATTTGGTCTTTGTCAGGTTTCTCCATGATTGTCCCCCAGAACTGTCAAAAGTTGTGATAAACAAACAAGCTCAGGTGTCTTATTATGGCAAGTCTGTTTTTCACACACAGTCAGGATTGGGGGCATGTCCAGTTCAGAGGAGGGAACATGTGCCCACGAGCTGAGACGTTTGAGCAGAGTTCATTTTGAATGCAACTTCCGAAGCACTGTATATCTGATTATTAAAAATGAATGCATGATTTACAGTACATTTATGTATTTATCCAAAGCAACTTATAGTGCATTTAAGATACACATTTGATCAGTTATTGCTTTCCCTGGGAATTTAACCCATGACCTTTGCGTTTCTAATTCCATGTTCTAGAGTTTTGATCAACAGGAAGACTTGATTGTTTTATAGGGATGTCCCGGTCAGGTTTTTTTGTGCTCCCGTTCCGATCCAAGTCATTGAATATTGAGTATCTGCCGATACCGAGTCCCAATCCGATACTTCTATATTCCTATAGGAATGTATATTTGGTGCACACTTACAGTACATTAAAATCAATCCAATGTATGCAGAGTTGTGCAGAGAGCAAAAGTAATATATACATGATGTATGTTTATGTATATTTATTACAAGATACTCTCTCTCTATATGTATATATGCACACACTGTATACAGATATTGGCATATGTAAACATGTTACAATGGTAGACATTGTAAACAAACTCTGTGGTCACAATTATTAATATGGAACTACTTGATATAAACTGCTTATATTTTATATGTATAATAAGCAGAGTAATTGCAACATAAAGTGAAGATAAGGTCAGAAAGCATGACGCTTGCGCTGTCAGAATGCCAGTCTGTCAGTCAAGTTCGAGTTCAATGGGACTTGCGACCATAGTTAGCTAACAATGTTTTTGGGAAACACATCCCAGATCTGCTACGCACACTGCTGCTGTAGAGCAAATACTTGCTACTGACAGTAGATACACAGACTTGCTGTGAGCATGTACAGCTACCACATAAATCATGTTGATCTAGGCAGGTGGAGCTGGGGGAGGTGGAGGGTTTTAGAGAAACTGCACTGCAGCTTACAGCGACCACTAAACCAGACCATTTAAATGTTAAGCAAGCAATCTCACTGGCCAATCAGCTTGTGCCATGTAGTAAATGATGTGGTTGCCAGCAGACTGAATCCAAAGCACCTGCCATCTAGAGTTTTATGACTGAACTAGATATTCCGACTTAAAAAATAAAAAATAATTTAAATGCAAAAATGTGTTCTGCATTAATGGATTACTACTGGTGCACCTCCAAAAATATTTTCTTGACATCCCTGTGCACACTAATAATTGTTTATTGTTGTTATAATTTAAAGTGGATCAGGAGTAATTATAGTAAAAAAATAAATTAAAAAAAAAGCCTACTTTCATCTGAAATGAATGATTTTTGTATCTTGCATAATATTAACATATTTCTGGTTTGGCGTTAATTAAAGGGTACTTGCACCTTGCTGAGGGGTCGATTAAGACAAAAGGGTGTTGGGAAATACTGATGTTGTGGGTTACGTTTCCAAATTACTAGCTCAGATGAAATGTGTTTGGAAATGCGGTAGGTGTTTGGCGTCCAAACAGTTGGATGTACTGGAGCAGTGCATCTGGGTGCTGAGTTACTGAGATCCTGCTACTGTTCAAGCTCTTCCTGGAGTGGAACCATCAACTTCCTTAAACTTAGATGAAACATAGTCATCTAAGCCAGTGTTTCCCAACCTTTTTTTTGTCACGGCACCCTTTGGAAATTTTAACAAACTTGTGGCACCCTACAAAATTAATTTTGTCGCAATATTTGAATTTCTAACTTCGATATGATAATTTGAAAAGTATAGATATTCGGTACAACAGGGAAGAACTGCAGAATATAATGTCATACAGATATTTTTAATATTATAAAAA